AAAGTTATACTATCTGGTAATTTATGTGGGCAATTATTGTTAGTTATTTCTTAAAATAATCTTTAGCCTATTTTATTTGATATACTATTCAATAAACAATTAAGCATGACAAAATTACCGTGTATATGTATATACATATATGGAAAATGATCTTGTGAGCCAGTGGGCTCACAAGTAAAATGAGCCCATCAACCCAGATTGCATCTGGGCCGATCTGACGATCACAGATGTCTGATAGTGTTTGAATTTTAAGTTTTTTTTTACAAATCCAAATCACTTGAAATTTTAGGTGCCTGTTCTTAAAAAATAGGTGAATCTTCGAAAAATATCAAAAAACTATTTTACATGAAAAAAATTGACCAAAATACCCCCATAAAGTTTCGGGGTTATTTTTGTCAATTGTTTTTTTGCAGATTATTTTTTTTATGTTTTTATTAGGTGTGGCTTGAAATTTAAGGTTGTGTTCTTCTCATCAAGTGATTTGGATTTATAGAAAAAAAATTGAAGTAGAAAAAAATTAAAATTCAAACACTCCCGAACATCCGTGATTGTCAGATCGGCCCACATTCAATCTGGGCCGTTGGGCTCATTTTTTCTTTTGAGCCCACTGGCTCACAGGATCATTTTCTTATATATATATATATATATATGTATATAGAAAAAGTCTTCCCAATGCCTATAGGCGAAAATGAATAGTGATTTCGCCTATGCTCATCACCGTTAAAAGTTAATCGCACGGTCATGATTGTTCAGTAGTGTTTCAATTTTCATTTTTTTTTATATATCGAAATGTTTTGAAATTTGGAGCGTGTGTACATCTTTGTGAGGCGCACGTAATAAAAATATGAAAAAAATATTTCACAAAATATAAATTGATCAAAATACCCCTGTAAATTTTCAAGGGTAGGTTGATCAATTTATATTTAGCGAATCATTTGTTTTATATTTTTATTAGATTATCCTTTCAGATCATTCCGATTTGTAGAAAAAAAATGACAAGTGAAACACTACGGGACAACTGTGACTGTGCGATGAACTTTGGATGGTGATGAGCATAGGCGAAATCACTGTTCATTCTCCCCTATAGGCGTTGCGTAGTGTTCATATATTTTGGCTATTCAAAGTGGTCTGATTCTCCATGTTTGATCATATTTGATCATAGTTATTTCTGCAGTTTAGATTTGCATATCATCGTATTCCAAAAAATTGGCATATATTGTTAAAAAGTTTACTGTAAAGGCTACAGTCGACTATATTCTTTTCTAATATGTAACTAACATGGAGGCATACATGAGGGAGAAAGAAAATGGATGAGTTTTTTTATTTATTTTTGGCTGGGATTAAGGGGGAGGCGATGCGAAGGCGGTGGAAGGGAACATTGGGAGATCAAGGACAGGAGGGTATACAGGTCAGAAAGGGAAGTGGGGTGGAGAGGAACAAATAGGAGAGGGGGGGAGCAAAGATAGAAGAGGGGTGGAGGGGAACAAAGGGAGAAGAGGAAATCTTGCATGCTATAAAGGAGACAAATGAACAACTTGGATTGGTTTCATTCCAACTCCTCCCCTGGTGATGGAGGGAAAAATTATATGTATTTTAATTTCTATTGAATTTTAAAGGTTGTATATTTTGCTTTAAGTTTTAGGATTTATTTTTTAAAATTTTAAGTTTTTTTTGGGATTCTAGGGTTTTCTTATATATTTTTTATTTACTATTCACAATTACTATTCCTGGTATTGTTCACCATTACTGCTCACATGTTATTGTTCACTCATTACCGTTCGCGAGGTTAGTTTTGATTTTTTTGTATTTTTAAGGGTATTTTATAGTCTTAAATGTTAAATTAGGGTTCCATAGGCTTAGAAAATATTGAATATCATATTTTGGGCGGCATATGTTATGGGAGTGAATTTTATTTTATGAAAAAGGAAAGTTCTTCTCTTGGCTTGATTAACAATCATGTACTTTCTCCATTATATCTGAATTTACTTGTTTAAGGTTCGGGAAAAAGGTGGATTCAATTTTTCACCTTTCCTTCCTGCGTCATTGGGCCAATGCTCCAGGCTTTATATTGGCTTTACAAAGGATGTGGTGAAAGGAAATTGAAACGCTGTGCTATCTCACTTATCTCCTCCGTATTGTATATCATCCTCCAAAGGTATGGGAGGTGCCGTTGGGCCATTTGATTACATTTGAGGTATCATCTTCAACAATTAGGGGATCTGTCCTGTAAGAAGTGACATGGCTTCTTCATTTGTCAAGTCTTCCACTCCAATCAATCCAGAGAGAGTAGATGTGTGTATCGTCTCATGAAATCCCTCCAATTCTATAAGGTTATTGATCAAACCATTAAGCTCATTGAGGATAATATATTTGCGAGACTAATGGGGGAGGTGACAAGGAGGCACACTTCTATCTCCTTGGTGAATCTCACTGTTAGGCACAACAAACTCTTTGACCAAAGAGTTTTGTGATACCATTGAACTCCCCAAGAACAAGATGCAAGGAAATCAATGTCTTGCAAATCCTCTCTTGCAGGGCTGCATTCCTAAGTAGTTTTAGATCATGTTGTCCTTTACAGGCATCTTCATCATGATCATTTGAGCCTTATCACAACTATTTGAGGTCGGCTAATTCCTGTTCTGCCATTCCGCTCTATCGAAAGCCATACCCTTAATCAGACCATAAGTCACCATATTTCTTCTCACTATTTTTATCCATGTTTTTTTTGACCTTCCCATTGCCCTTTTAGAGCCTTTCACTTGAAAAATCAAATCTTCCCTTCCTACATAGTGCTGTTCGAGGTTGACTTTGCACATGGTCAGCCACCTAAGTCTACTTTCCCTTATCGTATCACCTATTGTAGCCAGCCCCAAGTTCCCTCAGATGTATTACTTCCGAATTCTATTCTTTAATGTCTTGCTACTCATCTATCTCAACATCTTCATCTTAGCTACACATTCTATGGATATATTGTTCCTTTCTAGGCAAATACTCCATTATATAGCTGAGGAGCATATACCCTCAAGGACATTTCCAAGCCGAAATACTGCAACTTGGCATCCTGAATTGTGAAAAATATGAACTTTGGCAATGCCCGTTTGACTTTGAAGGACGCTGTGGTTTTCTTCATGAGTTTTCATGAGTTGTTCGATTCATTATTGTACAGATGTGTCGTGTTTTGCAGTTTCTAGTGAAATGAAATATTACTGTTTGCATTGTAAACTTGTCTGTTGTTACTTGTGATTTATATTATTCAAGGTGTACATTTTCTTGTGAATGCTACTCTTTTTGAGTTCACTTTCCATATATTTAGTTTTTCTATTCTAATCCTTCTTTTGTTTGAAGAATACGATTAATTTAGTTTGCATGCTATAGCTTTGAATTGTTGCGATATTGTTCTGAGCAAGGTTTTGGCTGTCTGCAGTTAAATCTTGTTCATTGGGGAGGTGACCTGACTGTAAAAATGAAGCTGCATTCTTTGAAAATCAAAGATGAGCTTCAAGGCCGTTTCTCAGGATCTATAAAGTATTTAGCATGTTCCGTATTGAAAGATGACACTGTTAATGCCCACTGTGGCTCACCGAGAGGAGCAGAGTTGTCCAAGCCAATGTTGGAAGATGATGATAATTTTAAGGACGCATTGCCGGAATTTTCCATGCCGAATCTGGGCTTTAACTCACTGAATAATCTTGAGATGCCCTCTAGCGAATTTTCTGATCCCATTGACATCGCTGGGTGCTGTGGTACAAGTAGTCCCATGAACAGTTTCATATTTCATGACAGTGGTCAGGTGCGTGGAAAGTATATTAGCGGAGAGGTGTTTTATGAGGCTCAGGACAGTGATATATCTGATTTTGTGTCTGTTTCCCTTTTGACGAGGCATCCTGGTTCTCCTAAATACAGTGGGACAGATATGCAGGTATTCTATTGACCTTTAGATTCTGTACAGCTTATTTGACAAGGCTATCTGTGTTATTTACATCATTGTGCTATCTTCATATACTGGAATATTGATTTTGTTTTGATTAAAACATGTCAGATGAACATTCGAATGTCAAGGTTGGACTTCTTTTGCAATAGGCCCACACTTGTTGCTCTTATTGGGTTTGGGTTGGATTTGAGTATCTTGAATGCTGGATTGGATTCTGCAAGTGATGCAAATGCTACGGTCAGAACTGCTTTTACTGAATCAACTCAAGATGCGGAAAGTGTGGAAGCAACTGAGCGTACATTTGTTAAAGGGTTGCTGGGTTATGGCAAAGCTCGAGTTGTTTTCTATTTGATTATGGATGTTGACAGTGTTCGTATATTTCTCAACAAGGAGGATGATTCACCTCTTGCAATGTTTGTACAAGAAAGCTTTCGGCTGGATTTGAAAGTAAGGAATGCTTTTCAGATCACTGTTGCTTTGTTTATAATGTTTGTTATCTAAAATAAATGTCAACATCCTTGGGCACCATCTCCATTTGTATGTGCAGTTAACTTAAGGTGGAAAGCATAACATATGAAGTTACGTAGTGTTATTATTTTTCTGCATTAATTTACATGAGTTGTTATTTGACTTCATAAATTTTTGATATTATTTTAATCTGAATAAAAGAAGTTCGTCTCGTTAAGTGTCATAATGTCACACTATTGATAAAATATACTGGGATGGATTTGTGGCTGAGGTTTATTGAGTTTATATTATTGTTTCATTGGTGTGATAGATTGTGTGCAGGAAATCTTTGTGCCTCTAGGCATTTGGATCTTGGTATGCTTTGTTCATGTGATCTCGGGTGTCCGATTAAGTGCGACATGTGCAGAGGTTATATGTGTCTACATGGTTATCTTTGTCAGTTTGCATGAATGCACTGAATATATGTTTGATTGGAGATTGTGATATCTTGTTCGCCATATATGTTGTCCATATGGTGTTGTTGCTTGTGTGTAGGGTGTTGTTGCTTGTGTGTAGGCATTAAAATATTCTCACACTGAAAATCATTGATATATTCATGTAGGTTTGGTGTGCAAATAATATTAAATTATTGGTCGAAACAGAGATGTTAGAAGGCAAGGAAGGCTGAGAAATCAACAAGGAAAAATTCCCAACTTGGGTTTGTAAAGAGTGAATTTCAATTGTGCAAAATTTCAGCCAACAGCTACTCTCAAATGCTCATTAAGTACTTTTACTGGTCTTGCAGTGGAGCCCATGGTTCTTTAAATCTTACATAATGACTCATCTGCCCAATGTTTTGACTAAATTGGGATTATAAACCCGAATTCTCAATACTCTCATATTAAGCTACCATAGACCTGGAAAAAGTAGCAATATTTAAATAATTTAGAGACCAGAAAGATGTACATCCTCACTCGATGATCTCCACTCATGCTGTTGCTTTCCTGATGTTTTATTGCCTTATGGCCAAGTTTGACCAATGTTGTGTGTAGTTGGTATTCTCAGTTATGCTTAGAACTTTGGTTGCATCGATTCTATTTGTAGTTTTATTTCCATACCTCATAACAATCTCAATGGTGTTGGTCATAACAATAGGCTCATCATGGATAGTTCATTTGAGATGATATGGCAAGCGTAATCTTGTTCTTGATGGTTCTTTTGATGGAGTTTCATCATTTAACATTTGACGTGATACTTATTGTATCACTGGCTATACACTTTCTAGCATTCTGCGTATCCTCATAAGGGGAAAACTCATTCATGCTTGCTCACTCTCTTAACATCAATCATCTTCATCATTATGTATGATGCATCTGTTTACTTCCTTTTTGGTAGCAGCTTTCGTCTAATCAAGGATTACTTATCTGTGTGATCTTGACTAGACCCTCTGACGGTATTTTCATTTGTCAAAACCAATTTGTCTGTTCATTTGCTTCCACATTTTATTGTGTTTTTGTTTTGTCCCAGTCATGTAACTCTTGGAAGTGTAAGAAGCAAGATGCGGAATTGAAGTGCTGCATAAGAGCTGAGTAGTTTGCTTTGCCTTTTGCCTCTCTCAAATTGTTTGGGTGTAGTGTCCCATTGGTGATCTCTGTTTCCTATGCCTATGCGTATGACAAAATATTGAGATGGCTTGTAGTCCAATGCAGAGTTATCGGAATCTCTTTGCAGAGGTTGCGATTCAGGTTCGGATTCCTGATTCAGTGATTCTGACAAGGGATCTTTATAGAAACCGTATCCTGGAATTTAGGATATAGATTCCATACGTTAGGAATCTAGTTTCATACCTTTTTAGGAATCTCGATACCATTATTTGTTGAATTCAGCCCCAAAATTTTTCATCTCGAAATCATTATTTGTGGAATTTCGGCCCCAAAATTTTTCGAACATCAATTCGAACATTTATTGAATCTTGATACCATGTTTGTTGATTCCTGATTCCACATGTAATGAATCTTGATTCGTTATGGTTTTGAATCTAGAATTTACAACATATAGAGTGCGAAGATGCTACACTACACATCAAAGCACTCGCGACTATGGCAGAGGTAGCATGCATATAACGGAGCAACCACCTCCGTTCATAGGAGCAGGGAACTGTGATTCAATCACCATGATATTTTGCTTCGACCACCATAAGATACCTGCTTGATGTCAAAATCTCTCTCTATCCATCTGTTGTTTTTTAATTCAGGCAATAATGTATCCATGTGTGTTCTTGATGCTTAGACTGAATTTCTCCCCTACCACAATGGCATAATGTGAATGTAAGCAAAATAATAATAATGATAAATACGAAATAAATAAAAAACTATTCGAATTACATAATGTCCAATTTCTTAAATGGTTACTACTTTTTAAAGGTAATTGGAGTAGAAAATGCTTCTAATAGTGCGAAGGCTTGTTCGAATCACATTTATAATAGTGCTTCTTTAAAGTATAATTGGTAACTACAACACATACAGTAAATACCATAGCACAGAGAAAATCGTTTTTTGTCTGTATAATGATGAAGTCAAGATCACAATTTCGAAATACCAAGGTTTCAAAAAATGCTAGGCGGTCGGCTCGGGGCCCAGTGTCCAAGCGGGCACCCAAAACCTTGGGTCCCCTGTAGTACAAGTTTTTAAGATATATACATGTATTTGTTCAAACACATATGTGAATAGATTTGTGTTAATTTTGTAATTTATTGCATTTGAAAATATTGTAACATACGTTTTTATAACAAACATATGACATATCGGCATATCGCATGTTGAGAATAAACTTGTTCAAAATTTCAAAAATCAAACCATAATAACTTAACTCTCCAATTCTCCATATTCCATATCCATAAAATAAACCATAATAACATTCAAGTCTCCGACACTCCAAGTCTTCAACAAACTTACTTTCAAAAGTATAAAACCACACAACAAAATAGTACAAAACGACAAAAAATGTCTATCTAACATCCACAATCCAAATGTTTAAAGCCCAAACCAAAATAGCACAATAAAGATACTATAAAAGAAGAGAGAGGAATCAATAAGAGTTAGAGTCATTATCATTATTCCTTGCATCATTTGCATCAAATCGAGGCCGTCATCATCAAAATCATTGCCCTTTTCAACATATTCCTCTTTTTCGATAGATTCTTTTGAATCTGCCTCCCCTTTCTCTCTCTTCCTCTATGAGTGTTAACGATCAACATAGGTCATTTCTCGAGTGGCCCTCTTAAGATCAGAAGCTCGTCCCAAAGTCTCCTCGACCATTTCCCAGGTCAAACCCTCTTCGGGGATGACCTTATTAGTACCAGGGTCCTCAACCAGCCAATTTGATGCATTCTCCATGCTTTTCGAAGCGACGAGATCCTTCTTTGGCTTGTTTTTCTTCTCCTTGAGCCTTTGATTCTCTCTAACATAAACCAAGTCATTGAGCTTCCTTTGCTCTAACCTATTTCTTTTGCAGCTATAAGTAAACATGCATGAGTACTAGACTACTATGATCTTCTTATCTTCTCTGAATGTTTATTAGAAAGATGAACTTGTAAACAAGAAAAGCATATAAAATATAAAAATACCATCTCAAACGAACTCTAATTGCGCTCACAACCTGAAGAAGTAGTTGTCAAACTCAGGATTTAATTAGCCATCTTCCAGAGGTGTGGAGCGTTATTGTCATGTTGTCTCTACCATTGGGCTGCAATACGTGGACAAATTTTATAATTAATTTACATATTTAACATTATCACATATAATTTTAGGAACCTAAAAGTTGAAAGAAAACTAGAAAACTAGGCAGCAAAAGTACAAAATATATTACCTGGTTCGTCTTTGTTTCTCTGTATTAGTGCCATATCTTTCCCAAATGACATCAAAGCACACTTATACAAAATGAGCTCTTATGTTGATATCTTATCTTGGATATGTGGATCAGAAACTAGTCTCTCAAGGCATTCGTTAAAACCATCTATAATTGTACCTTTTGCCTCAATATCTTCATCTTCATAAAAGAATTTTGGGTTCAAGTAGAATCCCACTACATGCAATGGTCTATGGAGCTGGCTATCCCACTTGGCATCTATAATCTCCCAAATTGGGTCGTACTTGGCCTCATCATTGCCCAAATTCTCTGCAATTTCATTCTTAGCCCTTTCAAGTGCATTATATATAAAGCCCATGGAAGGCTTATCAACATCAACCGAGCGCAAGGCCTTCACCAAAGGAAGAAATACTACTATCTCATGCTTTACGCCACGCTAAAAATATTTAGAAAGAATAATATCCCATGAAGAATAATATCCCGTGCCTTCTTTGCCTTGGCATCTCTAGACCACTTACACCTACTCCACTCCTCTGAAGCAAACATGGACCTCAATGGGATCCTCCTACTATACATGCTCTTTAGACTAAGGTAAGCAGCGGCAAATCTAGTGACCCTGGGCCTCACTAGCTCTCTCTTCTTTGTAAACTTGAGCATCGTGCTAAGGGTAATTGTGTGACTGTATATGAAGACTGTAACCTCCTTAACCTTAGAAAGAACTCCTTTAATAGTAGTTAACTTGCCAATAACTTCAATTATAAGATGTACGTAATGTGTAGCGCAATGAGTCCAAAATATGCGAGGCTTCTTCTGTTGAAGCAAATGACCTGCAGGTAGATTGGGAGCAGCATTTTCTATAACCACTTGAATTACAAATTCTTCCCCGACCTCTTCAATGCCCTTATCAATGAAAGAAAATATATAATAAGAATGAATATCGCTAGAAGCCTCAACGGATCTCTAACAAACTATACCTAAGGGACAATTTACTAATAAATTCATGGTACTCCTCCTATCACTATACTTAAGGGACAATTTACTAACAAATTCATGGTACTCCTCCTATCACTCTTTTGTTGAAGCAAATGACTTGCAGCTAGATTGGGATCAGCATTTTCTGTGACCACTTGAATTACAAGTTCCTCCCCGACCTCCTCAATGCCCTTATCAATGAAAGAAAATATATAATAAGCAATGAATATCACTAGAAGCATCAACGGATCGCAAACAAACTATACCTATGGGACAATTTACTAACAAATTCATGGTACTCGTCCTATCACTCTACATATCAGTCATTAAAAGAACCCCAAATTTAGCCTACTCCTCCTTATGGGGCTTGAGATATTCCTGAGTAACCTCAACTTCTTTCTTTAGTAGCGGCTCGCCAATCTCATATGGAGTTGGGCTTTTCAAACCTGGCCAAAATTGCCCTATTGCCTCCAACATTGTATGGAAGCTACTCAAGCGAGTGGTGTTAAAAGAAATACACGCATGTTATAACCATCGAGCAATATACTGAATCACCGGCCCCTGTCTTCCTTCTTAAATCTATTTTCAAGTGTCACCTGTTTTTCCCCCTTTCCTTTCCCTTTTTCAATTACTGCCTCGGGGCTAGGTGTAAAAAAAACTATCAATGGGCCATCTCATACAAGGCTTCTTAGACCCATAAGTCCTCTTACCCGTAGAGCTTGGAGTACCAACCATGGCTACCTCCTCTTCCCCCTCTTCATCCTCTTTAGTGTTAATACCATCATAAAAAACATAGACCCTGCCTTTAATTCTGCCATATCCTTTGATTTTATTTTATTTTAGCCTTTTCACCTTCAATGTACTCATAAATTTCTTTCCTTACAAGTTCTTACACGGGGCAACATCACCGCTAATATCGACAATATGTTTCTTAAATCTATTTGTTGGCATTAGAAACATGTCCACAGAAATTGCACATAATTTTATTCCTATCATTTTTGTCCGAGTTAATACAATACTTCCATTCTGGATCCCCACCCCTAGTAGACCTCGTAGAAGACATCTCAAATCAGAAAATAAAACTCAATTAAAGATTACAAACTGACCTTTTTTGCACAATATCTGGTCTTCAATGTTTTTTACCTCAATCGAGCTACTAACCAACTCAAAAGTCTTCTAATACTTCTAATAGCACCCTAAAACTAATTTCAATGAGAAAAGGAAACTTTTACAATCCACAATATATACTTTCGATTCTCAGAAATTACCTTAGATTCACAGAAATACGTTTAGCATAGAGATTGTGTTTTTTTCACTTTGGGGGTTAAAAATAACCTCCATCATATATTTATACTATCTTGGGGGTTTCAAAATGACCCCGTTTGCCCTTTGGCCAATTTGAAAAATGAAAAAGGGCCTACGACCTTGGGAGCTGAGCGCCCATTGAGCCGTCCTGGGTGCCACCTAGGTACATTCGCCCGTGTTGGGCCACTTGGGCTTGGATGTGCGGTGGTTATTGTCTAGGCCGCCTAGACGTCGGGCGGACTATTTTTTAAAACATTGAGAAATACAGGGGATAACATTTATATCGTAGATAATTTCGCTAGTGGACTACTTGACCCTAATTTCAATAATCAATACATTGATTTCAAATATGAGGAACCCTTTTACGAGTGTAATACGAAACATTTGATATCGAATGCTTAGGAACCCTTGTACAAGTCTAATACGAAACATTTGATATCGAATGCTTAAATAGGTTCGAAGTCCATAAAGCGCGAGATACCGTTGATATAGGAAACTTGTTTCTATGGGGCTTCTCACTTGACTCTATAGAGTTACAAATCTTGACTACCAATTGGGATCAGGCTCAATTCTAAACTAATATGGATCACATTTCCAAACTGGCATGAATCTCAGTTCCATATACATCAGAAACTATTTCAAATATGTCGGAATCTAGATTCTAAACTGGTGAGAATATCGGTTCCACATACATTGGAAATTTGATTCCTAAGATTTCAGAATCTCGATTCCTTGGGGTCGATTTCAAGGAGGTAGGAATCTCAGTTCCACATAAATCAGAATCTTGATTCCATATGTGGTGGAATGTCAATTCAATTTTGGTCGTTTCTCGATTCCCCAAAAAAAATAGGAATCTCATTCCCTGTGATTCCCATTGTACGGACAATGATTCCAAAAACAGGAATTTTCTAGACCGCTGCAATCCCCCGATTTCGATTCCCAAAACAATTTGGGTTCCCTGGCGTTTCTAGCAACTATGCTTCAATGTTGTTTGATTGCTCTAAACACTATGAGGTTGATTGATGCAGAAAAAATTTCTCATGGAAGAAAATCAAATAATTTATTGATTGGGAAATTAAGGAGGAAGAGTACAGGACGGGCTTCCATTATCTATTCTAAATTCTCTACATTGACCACTTTGTATAAGAAAATACCTTATTAAGAGCCCAAAAACTTTGTATAAGAAAATACCTTATTAAGAGCCCAAAAACTCCTAGTTCTAATTGAAATAAAAGTTCTAATTAAAACAAGTTGTAATTGAAATAAAAGTTCTAATAGAAAAAAGTTCTAATTGAAACAAAATTCGTAATGACATTTTTCACTCGCAATAAAACAAAATGTTACACTTAGTACTCTAACTGCTCTAAATAACTCCTGAAATACTAAAATTTTAAAAAACCCTAGGATCTCTTCAAAAATTTTAAAACTCTAAAAATAATTTCTAAAATGAAAATTTAAATTTAAATATACATCCTTTGAAGTTAAACAAAATTTAAGGTATGGATCTCTTTGTCCTGCATTAGTCTTCCCTGGTCGGAGAAAACTCGGCATTTTGAAGTGTCATAAGATGAATTCATAATCAAAACCACCTTCTTCAGCCTTCTTTGTTGGTTCAATGATTATTAGTGGTAAAAGAAATCCTCAGGAAACAGATTCTGATATATATATTGAGGAATTGATGCACATTTAACAAATTCAGCTAGCCTTGAACTCGCATTGAAAATCATGTAGGAAACTGGCAACTCTTATTATCTGGGCATTTAGTGTCTTCTTGACATCTATTTCATTACTCTCTAAATCCAAGTCCACAATTTACAGTTTATGAGTCGACCACGCTTCCGTTGTGCTAATTTGATTCCAATGCTCTATATCTCTCGAATGCTCCACCTTTTTAATATCCTTGAAATCTTCATCTTAAATCTTATCATAGACCAGGTCTCTTAAGAGATTTTTCTTGTTCATCTGAGCATGTATTGAAGATTTGACTTGAATCCGAATCTACAACCTGCTGATTTTAAAAGTAACCTGAGTCAAAATTAAGAATGTCCACCTTCATATTGAAAACTCTAGATTGATGTCCCCCATGTTGGTCATCAAGTCTGGGTTTAATGAGGTTGCATTGGATCATATTTGGCATGCGTGCCCTAGGGGATGGACATCGTTACTAAGGCTCTGCATCACTTTCTAGCTTACAAACTGATGTTCTTGAATTTCACCACATCTTTGAGTGGAATTTTCATTAGGAGTCTCCCTGTAATTGCTTCTTAATACCATTTGTGGATTTTGCAATGGCTACGTTACGAACTAGTCATTGTTCCATATTATGTTCATGTAAGTCATTTTGTGGGGGCCCATTGGTATTTTAGTCAATGCACCTGTACTTGGAAGCATAAAAAGGATTCATGACCATGAAGTTAGAGTATTTCGTTCTTTCAACTCTTCATATTTCTTTCATCTGCTCTTCTCATGCTCATTCTCCACATACCTTGGACGACTGTGTCATGACATAGTTTATGTTAGCACATCATTTACATGACTTGTTACAACAATTTGAGGCTGTTAGGCATTTTCAATTTTTGGGTAATGTTAGGTAGTTCTATTTACTTTTATTCTGTTGTGCTGTTTATATGTTTTATTTGTTTTGGCATTTTTCTTTGCACTTGTCTTTAATCTTGTATAAAAGTTACAGACATTTCCAGTTTCCAATATCTATACCTGTATTGATGTGTATTGTAAGCGTCATGCCATAAGTTTTAGGCTCTTATGAGAACCTTAGTCTTGTATTTTAGAATATTATGGCAACATTATTCCGTTTTCCCTTGGTGGACCTTTTTGCATTTTCTTATACTTGTTTTGTATGTGTCTCCGAATCATTTGTTGCATGTTGTACACCTAGTATCATATTGTTGTACACCTAGTATCATATTTTAATTTTTTTTTTACTTGAGCCCGGCTAGGTCAATTACTTCTAGTTAAGAAAATGGTTGAAGTATGGATTGTTTGAAGTTCTGTCTTACTAGTGTTTTTAGTCCTCACCTCATGACGTGATTTTCAATTTACAAGGCCATTGTCTTTCTACTACCCAAATCTTTAGTAGCAATATTCAAAACATGGGGGACAATTGGAATTCCCTATTTTAAATTTGTGTTTACTGTTAATGTTATTGCTTAATTGTTATTTGCTTTTCTAGGTTCATCCGGGCTCTCTTTCAATTGAAGGGACCTTGGGTAATTTGAGACTTTGTGATATGTCTCTCGGTCCAGATCATTGGTGGGGATGGCTTTGTGACATACGTGATCAGGGAGCTGAGTCACTTATTAAGGTACTCTGTTTTGGCTCTAGAGCTTTTATGATTGGTGAATTTTGATAAGATCAATGATGCATAAAATAATGCATACATGATTGGATGTTTGATTTATAGTTTGGTAATTTTGGGCTCTTGTACTATGAGTGCTTATTTTCCCCTAAATCCAACTACATATGAAGTGTCAGCATTCCTCTTGGGGGTGATGAGTGTTTCCCATCTGAATTTCTTAGTATTTAACTTGGGTCAATTTTTTCTTTGGAGCATTTCATTAATTGTCTTGAGGCTAAGTTTTTTTGTTATTTTCTGTAGTTCACATTTCAGTCGTACAATGTTGAAGATGATGATTATGATGGATATGAGTATAGCTTGAGTGGACGACTTTCTGCAGTGCGTATTGTTTTCCTCTACAGATTTGTTCAGGAGGTATGTTATTTACCGTGCCATCCATGTAAGTCATATTTTTTGATAAGCTGCTGCTTAATCGCAGTTCATTTTCTCATGATGAGATTTATTCATTGTTTATGGATGCGAGATTGCTTTATGAAGAGATTATTGACAGTGTTATTTATGATTCAACATTTTAAAACGATTGATATTTTGTCTTGGGAAATGTTTTGGTGTGGCAGCCAGAATGGTGCTATCCACTGCCCTATATTAATTGGACTGCGGCCGCACTCTAAACAGACACTTTATTTTATTGAGGCTATAAGAATTTCTTCTTCCTTTTGAGTTTTGGATTGTTAAGATTAATGAGTAGTTTTATATCAAAAGATTTAATCATAGACTTCTGGAAAAATGCGATCTACAGATAACCTCATACTTCATGGAACTCGCCAATCCACAAACTGAGGAAGCTATTCGACTTGTGGATAAAGTTGGTGGTGTGGAATGGCTGATTCAGAAATACGAGATAGATGGTGCCACAGCTGTAAAGCTGGACTTGTCACTGGACACACCAATAATAATTGTGCCACGAAATTCCAAGAGCAAAGAGTGGGTATCCCTTTATGTAGATATTCCTGGGCCATATTATTGTTACCGTTGGTTTTGTTGTTGTTGCTGCTGCTGCTGTTTTTGTTGTTATTGTTCTTGATTTGTATGCAACGAATGCCAATAACGGATGGCTACGGTGTTGTCAAATTGAAGGAAATTAATGCTTTACAGGTTTCCATTATTATTGTTATTTTTTTTAGAAAGATTGTTGTTTGTCATTGTTGTTGTTTTTGGTGGTGGTGGTGTTGGTGGTGGTGGTGGTGTTACTATTATTTGCATTATTATCCTGTTAAAAAATCTTACTTATGTTATCATTTGTTTCTTTCTATCATGCTTGACCTAAATGGTTGAATCCTTACTCCCACTAGTTTGCATCTACCTTTGCGCTAGACTGTTCCAATATTATGTTTGATTCATTACTCTGATTAAATTCCTTTTTTATCAGTTTGATAAAGTTAGAGTCATTATGTTGGTTTGTTGTTTGACAGCCAGTAATTATCTTTTATATGCTTAAACCAGCAGTAGGCTTGTTTTGGAGTTTGCTATCTTTGATGATAA